ACAAGATCCACAGCGGCTTCCAGACCCCGAGTTCCGCAGCTGGGGCTGGGGCTCCAGGGCTGCAGCTGGGGCCAGAGTACCGCATCCGTTGCTGCCCCCTGCTATGTCCCAGCCAGAGGGAGAGGAACTCTCCACTGCGCCACCTACCCCTCCGCGGTCTCACATGCACACACCCCCCACGGGTCTCCTAGGTGAGTCACCGCCTACCCCACCCTCCGCCATGTTCCAGCTCCCTGGCCAGACCTCCCTATCCCTGGGCTTTGTGGTACGAGAAATCTCATGCCCTGCTGGAGCACAAATGTTGCCAGACCAGAGAGACCTGGTTAAGGAGGTACAACCTGTGCTTAGAAATGTACTTTTACAAGAAGCATGGTCTCTAACGCAGCTCTTCTATGTCTCCTGAGATCTTCCTGGCCACATCCCTTTTTGTTTGTAAACTGCTGGTATCTTCTCTAGCCGTTTGGAGAGGACATGCTGCATATGCAATTTTCTGATGTCTCTGGTGCCCCTACAGTTTTCCTTCTTGTCTTTGCACAGCAAAGACTTTAGAAAGATGTAATGAGGCACTTGCACCTTGAATGCTTCCTATTGCTGCATGCAATGCTATAGGCATTTCCTGCTCTTGACACTCTCTGAAGGTTGTCAGCCTTGCTTGATTCAGTGGCTTTGCCCTCCAGCTGGGTAACAGTCAAAACAAATCCCTTCTGGGATAGCAAAGAGTCCAACAAAAATTGTCCACTCACCGTCATCAGGATCTTCAGCTCTGGCCCTGGGCCCTTTAAATCCAGCCCTTCACTCTGGCTTCTAAATGCACCTGGTCTCTTTCTCAAGCTTTATGCTGCTTTTGTCAGTGGCCAGTGGAACCCTGACCCACCCACTAGGAACTCCAGGTCCCAGCCCAGCATTCTATAAAGAACAGCCACATACTGTTCCCTTCAATTATTTGTTGCTACTTCTCTAGGCCTCTTCCCAAAGCCCTTTTATCTTCACCCGACACCTCAGGGTTAAAGTTCTCTTTCCCAATTTAAGCAAATGCAGCTTCATCATGCTCCTGCAGCCGGAGAGGAGCTCCCAGTTAAGACCTGACCTTGGGCTCCTTTTATCTTAACCCACTGGAGCGAAGCAGCAATTGGCTCCTTCCGTATAGCCTCTCTAGGCAGGCTAGGAGAACCCACCTTTGCTGCTCCTGTTCTGGGCAGTGACCATGGAGTTTCCTCAAAAAGAGACCTGTCCCACCCTGTCCCAGAAGGAATGCATTTTTTGTGGATTTGACTTAAGGCTGGGATTTTTAAACTGTCTAGTACCCTGTTACTTTTGCCACTTTTAAAATCCCAGTTCTATGCCTTCAAAGAGATTTTAAAAGCATCCGAAGAATTTCTAAGAAAAATCTGGGATCTGAAGGGAATAATCATGGCCACCCAAAAGCACTGAAGGTTGTTCATTAAAATGATCTGTGGAAGAGTCTGCTGTAGGTGAGATGCTGATCGGTACTTTCATGTGTTCAGCATGTTTGTCAACCTCTGTGTGACTTTTCAGTCAGCTTCTGAAGTATATTTCCTTCAGGTTTGAAGATGCTTAGGGAACTTAATTACAAATAATTACTGAAATTAATTTACATATTGGTCATTCCATGTGGTGCTGTTAGAAGTGTCAGCATTCTGTGTTGATTAGCCAGTCAGTCACACGGTGAGCTCCAGGAATCTGAGAGATTTTTTTAAAGATGAAAAACTAATAGTAGGGCAGAGGAAGATATTATAAAAAACTGGATATGTGTATTTACATCTGAAACAATAAAACCCTAGTTGACCAAAATTCTGTAATTCAAAGATCACTGTATCACCTAAAGTTTGCCATTTATGCCAGTCAGCTGACAAAAGTGTTGGGAGGAAAGGCCAGAGGTATGTTGTTTACATTTGTCTGTCTGAAGGAAAAAGAGGAACAGTCACAAAAGTTTTTGTGTGGGAGGCTTTATAAACATGCCAGAGGTCTAACCTTTGCTCCTCAGCTAAGTGCTGTACTCTGCTAGTTCTGTCAAGTAGGTGAATCTTTGATCCAAAGGTTTTGAGGGTTCCCATAATCAAGACTCCATAATAGAAGAATACTAGCAGGTTGCGCCCCATGTTCACTATGCTCTCATGCCCCCCTCTCTCTGGCTGCTTTTGTGGCCTGAGAGCGTGATGACATTCTGTTGCCTGACAGGAAAAACTTTTTTATAGAGAGAGAGAATTTGAAAAGACATTACTCTTATAGTAACTAACATACAGTGGCCTGGCTATGTTTAAGTTCTCTTCCCAGAGTATTGTAGTGGGCAAATCTTTTGAAACTTGCTGATGTCTGCAAAACTGGAAAGATCACAGCTGGTTTGCATTTTAACACTTGGCTTAATGTCCTTTGGATATGTCTACACTGCAGTTAAACACTCACACGTGAGGCTGTAAAATTGTGGTATAGGTGTATGGGCTTGATTCATATCTACACTGTAATTTTACAGCCCTGCAGCGTGAGTCAGCTGTCATGAGCCAGCCCTTGATGTTTAATTGCAGTATAAACATAGCCTTTGTCTATTAGACATATTTTAAAAGGCTGCATCTTCGCTTTTTTTGCAGCACTCCATATTACATATAAAAGTAAATTTTGAGGCGACTGTTAAATTTGTATTGGCAAACTTAATCTGGATAAGTTCTTCTGTTGTAATTTATATCCATAACTCTTCCAAAAGGAAAAAAAATTGATTGTAAGTTTTTGTTTTTTTTCCCTCTACCATGCAGGCTATATTTGAAGTAATATCTTCTGAACATTCATACTTACTGAGCTTAGAGATTCTGATCCGGATGTTTAAAAATTCTAAAGAACTGTGTTTAACAATGACCAATACAGAAAAACATCATCTTTTCTCCAATATTGCCGATGTCTGTGAAGCGAGCAAAAAGTAAGTGCATTGTAAGAGACAAAACGCTTTTTTATTTGCATGAAATTCTGAGAGTGGTGATTGCCAGCAGAAATAAATTACTATGTACATTATATTTCATGACACTATTAGGAAGCATCTTTATTTGGTTTTAAGATAATAGAAAGAAACAAAACAAATGGTTTCAAATAACAAGTACAAAAGGCTGATATTTTCTGCTTTACAAAGTCTAATACATTCAGATGTTAGATGGCCCCATGACATTTTAGTGACATTTTTCAGCAGTTCAGGATAAGTAAAATACAATTACAAAAGCATAACATTGTGGTATTTCAATTACTTTTTAAAATGATTGACAAGTAAATGAAGTTGTTCATTTTTTAAAAACAACAAAATATATTTGAAAAGATGGATTCCATAATAGGTATTGTGACATACCTTAACTCTACCAGTTATCAGGAACAGATTTATTGTTGCCTTATTATTACAGTGTAGCATTTAAAAATACTTGTGTCAAGAGAAAAAATAAGCTACTAAATAATGCATTGAAACTTAATAGAAAACATTTTGGGGTAATGCCAAAAAGGGTTAATCTTGAGTATTTTGAGGCACTAAATAAACATTCCTGTTTTTTTTAAAGAGGAGATAAAATGTTTAATATTTAGAAATATTAAATAAGAAATAATATGGATGTAAATAAGTCAGACCAAAACAGCAGAAAAGCATTTCAGTGATTCTTTTGTGTGAACTAAATAGGTGCTGACTTTCATGTTAATTTTGCTTATAGTTTGAAAAGGACGCATAGCTATCTTTTTTTTTCCCATTAAACAATACATTTTTCTTTTTTGCATTGTTTACTTAGTTTGAGAGTATGTATGACTTTAAAACCAGTATGCTACAGGTATTAATTTTATTATACAACTTGAAATTTAATACAATTGCTCTTTCCTTCTGTACCTATAGCTATGATATCAAATAGGCTCTTCTAAACAAAGTGCAGAATTTCTATCAGAGTGCCTTTTTCACATCTTGTCAGTTCTATTTTGTATTCAATATATTAAATATTTGGGATGCTGTCCAGAATGAAACCATCAGTGGAAACAAGCATTAGATGGGTAACCAAATAAACAGATTTCAAACATCCAGAAGCCTGTTTCCACATGTTTTCAGGATTCAGACAACTTTTACATTGGATTAAATAAGCTTTGTTAATCAAACTATCAATTCTGGGTGCTGCCTGCTTTAATTGAAAGAGAAACAGTGGAACAGATCCAGCCTCCTTTGTGCTAATCCATCAATCTTTGCCTGAAATAATGGCCCCTTTCGAACTGGCAGAAACCAATGAAAAGGACCTCTGATTGGACCAATATCAGGTGGAGATGAGAGAGTGAAATAATACTATCTGTGATATCTCTCTCAATATGTGCAGAGTGTCACATTTGAAGATTGAGCCCTTTGCTTTTAAGAAAGAGGAATGATGTTTTGTGACCATCATCCTAACTTCTATAGATTGGATTTTACCTGTCTGAGATTAAAAAAAAAAAAATATCTTAGAGAGCAACTCCTTTAGTGATGCAGCCCCATGTTTTTTTTATTTCATTTTCTGTATATTCTTAATGTGCAGCTTGGGACTGTTAAGCTTGTATCATCAGGGTCCTCCTGTAGGAGGCATCAAGGGGGAGCAAGCGGATCCATGGTAGTTGAATAGCTGATAAGGCACCTCCGCCCTGAAGTGTAACAATAACCCTAGGGTCAGCTGGCCCCGAACTGCACGCTGCCGCTTCGAAGTACCCTCTAATACTTATCTTATAGAGCCAGCAATGGGGGGGCCGGAGTGACTGGTCGACTGTTGTGCCAACTATCCAATAAGCATTTGCTTATTTGTCACATCCCTAGTCTGTGGTGCCAGTGGGGATAGCTCCGTATAAACCACCAGCATACGCAGGGAGCCTGCTTTAAAGCTGGCTACATTGCGCATATCGGCTCCTGCCTGTCCCCCTCACCCTCCATGCTGCTGCCTCTCAATCAAAGGCAGCTCCCCCACTTTGCTGCCTCTGAGAGAGAGGCAGCAATTGTGGGGGGAGGAGTACTTGTAGTCAACAAGATTAACCGATAAGCCCAGGAGTTAGCCAAGAATTAATAGTTCTATTGGTTAGGGAATTGCAAATGAAAAAATGCCCTATCGTTTATGGCTGACAATAGAATCTTTCGTCTCTAGGTTACTGCTCTGCATGGCCTCAGGTTGTCAATTCTGATAAGACAATACTGTCTGACATTTTGGTAAAATGATGAGTTGGTTATTTTTGTCCAGTTCTTAACAGACAGGTTGATGTTACAAAAACACTCTTGCAATAGACCATTAACTGGCACCTTTTTTTTGTTATCTTAAAACATAGCAAAGATTTAGTTAGCCTAGAAACTTTCCTTCTCTTATGAATCATTCCTGTAGGGCACAGCATACTGGCATATCAGACCAAGTGTGCACAGGGATACAAAAACAACCAATCTCCTAAACTTTTTCTGATGTTTTTAATATGACAGCTTTTCTAATCTCTAAATTCACTCAAACCATTTTTAGATGAGAATTTTAAAATAAAAAAAGGAAAACTAAATTTTTAAAGGAATTTTTCTAACACCTTTAAATAATAGTCTTCAAAATAACTGAGGTGGGAAGGGGGAGGGAAACAATGGAAAATATTAAACTGGCCTAAAATTATAATTTATTTATACTTGTCTGAAAGATTCATGATTTCTTTCTTAGAATTTAAAGCATATTTTATTTCCCAAATTATGGTATTCTGTAAATACATAATGAGCAAGGTGCTTTGAATTGTGGGCTTTTTGTAGCTTTGTCCATGTAAACAAGTCCACGGAAAAGGATTTTGCAGCCAAAACCTTTATTTCAGTACATGAGAACTGTTTGACCTCTTTTTCAAAAGCTTTAAAGGTGGTCTAAAAACATTTCCCAGTTATGTTGTATCTTTATCTGTCTTATTTCATCTGGCATATTCTAACCAGATTTCCTTTTGTTTTTAAAAACACAGCCTCAAATTGTATATTACGGTAATATCTGATATTTGTTGGCTTTTTATACAGGAAGGTAGCTCTTGAAAAACAAACACGTGAAAAAATGCTACCTTTAATGAAGTTTGACTGGAGTATCTGGTATAGATTGCATAGATATCCAGTATCTTGACACTGAAAATGTTCAGTGGAAAAGCCTCCCAGAAATGTCAAGATAAGCATTTAATAAATGACAAAGCCATTCCTAATTGTACAAAGTTCTCTTTGTAATGGGTAGAAAACAGACCGCAAAGTCTCTCTCTGCATTTAGAAACTTATTGACATTTCTCTCCGCAAAACAGAATGGTTGATTTGACTTATTTATGCAGGGTACGATTATATAGAGTCCTCTTGAGCTATAAAGTATTTTTGCAAGATTGCTTCCAAAATACTTGTGGTTCTGTGTATATCTCTGACTATATAGTTATTCACATGAGCCACAGTGAGAGATGAATTATATTGGGAGAGAAGCTAATGGAGACATAATAGGCTAATTTACTCTGATGTAAAAGTTTGTATAGCCTGAGAATTACTCAGTTTTGCTAGTCAAATAAAGAACTTGAATCTCAACACATTGGGTAGAAAAGGTCAGTTCTCCAAGAATCTGTCAACCATTTAGCACAAAATATACTTTCACTTTCTAAGAATGATATTTTAAAATGGCATTTAGGGCAATGATAGATGGGTTAATGTAAACTTGAGGCAATTGGTGCTCTTTAGAAACATTTAGAAGACAGACAAGTGGCTAGAGAAAACATTTGTTGATACAGTTTTGATAGATGTTTCCTATGAAAGGCCTTTATTACATCTTTCCTTATTATTACGTAATATCATTTGTATATTCTGCTTTTTCAAATGTTAGTCAACACGCCTTTTCTCTTTTAAACTCAGTAGCAAATTTATAGTGTAAAAGACGTTATATGTATATGCCATAGAAAAAGGTTCTGAGGAAAGAATAGTTACACAACCTAAGGTCAAGAAATATGAAAGTTAACACATATGTAATCTTCAAAACTCAGAAATGTGTGAGATGGAGTCGTTAAGTATCTGATTACTGAGGCCTAGCCATCTGGCTGGCGTGTATGCCAAGGTAAAGATTGTTGAATGTCTTTCTTTTTTTTATGCAGTTTTTCTTAGATTAATCTAGCTGCTGTTAAAATCTCTCGGTGTATTTTACCTCTGGTTCTTTCCTCATTCAGATAAATTGACTTCCATTATGTGACAAACCTAAAACGGAGCATGAGTGAAATTTATCTGAATACCTAGCAACAGATCTATAGAAGCTTCGTCACTCCTGCTTTGTCATTATTCTTTGTGTGCTGTTATTCTTCTATCAAGAGAATTCTGACAAATGAATTCCCTCCATTCGTGCCCCTTTCTGAAAGATTTATGACCCTGGAGAATTCTGTTCTATCACTTTGTCTTCCCTATAGAAATGCAACACAGATGGCATGTAAGTCACTATGCCACGTATTTATGTGGAGAGTTTCACTATAGGACAGTTCCTTTCTATAATTGTAGATTTATTCTATACTTTCTTCCATGAGGTCTGTTGCCTAAGATTTCTAAGCGGACCATTTTTCTTATGCCTCTAGGTTCAACTGTGTTTCTTAAGGCTTACTCTCAGTTCATGTTTTCTTCTGCTTTTCCCAAGTAAATTAATTGTCCTTATCTTGCCTAATTCTTTATTACTTAACTTTTTATCTTTGTAAATGTCAGTAAATACCATACTCTTTTTGTTTTCAACAGCTCCCTCAATGAAAACATGCACATACACATAGCTACCTGCCAACCCTCTAAAATCAGTTGCGTTAGTCTTCAATTTCTTTGTAGTAATGTATCAACAAATAAGTTGAGAGCCAGCTGTAAACTCAGATTTCTGAGTTATCTGAGCTATAAAACAGAAAATATTCCAGCCAAAAGTTAGTGGTAGGAATTATTTCTGATGACTTTTGCAC